AACTTGTTTCTGCTCGGTTGATCGTGTAAATCATTTGGCTCGCGATATACCTACGGGGCGCGTTGTACGCGACTACATTAGCGCTTTTCCCGTATACCCGTTGTAACAATGCATAAAACAACCACTCCGGAGCCCGTAACAATGTATAGCTTTTTGCGTTCGTTGGGTTTTTTGAAAAAAAAAAAAAAATAAAATTTGTTATCAAAAAGCAATTTAAACTCCGTAAAGGAACAACCAACGGCGAGTTCGAAAAAAAGTTTAAGCGCCCTTTGATGTTTCATGTAATTTCGGTGAATTCACTTGTTACAGCTTTAGCTCTGTGAAATTAATTGAATAAAAACAACAACAAAAAAAGTAACCAGTATATTCAGCCCACACGTGAAGTTACAATCACAAGCAAACAATACCACCTATTGTAAGAGAGAGACAGGAAAGTATGTATACCATCACTCTCCCCTTGGCGAACTGTATACACTATACACTTGATAAAGATGCGCGTATACGCATTTTCGCAAATGGGACGAGAATAAAATGGTGACGGAGGACAGGTGGTGTATATATATATATTGTGATCAAAGTCAACTCGGGGTAGAGAGAGGGAGGATCACTGCTCGATTAGCGAGAAAGGGCGCGCGAGAGCAGTGGCTCGGGAGTTACGGCGGTACGTGCGGCGCGGATAAAAAGGTCAGAGACGGGTGATAAAGAAAGGGGAGAAAAGGATGGAAGAGAGGGTATAGGTCCGTGATAAACGTGAGCCTTTCTTTCTTTCTTACCTACGTCTACATATATATATATAGTTTAAGGGACGCGCGTACGTGTCTGCATCGCAAGGGAAAATTACTGTTTGCCAGCGTATTCGGGTCACGGTGTGTGCTCTTGTTGTATTATTAGTATTATGTATATATAAGGGGGTGGAAAGGGGAAAATGGGAGGGTAGAGGGGGGGGATGGTTTGCGCATTGGTTTTTACGAAGAGCAAATGAGCATAGGTCTTTTTTGCTCCGCCGGAGCGGGGATCAAACGTCATTGGTCCCTTTTTCGTCGGGCATCGACGGTGCAGGTGAGATTATTATCTCCGTGTACGGGGAAAGTTCTAACAAGCTCAGTGTGCAGTACGCGATACAAAGTTTGCCGATTGTTTTTTTTTTTTTTTTTTTTTTTTCCAAAGGGAAAAGTCAAGCGAGGCCAGAGCGATCAACTCCGGGGATGCGAATCGAAAGAAAAGAAAAGCTGTAATCTCGCAAGGCTCGCTAGATTAATGGCCATGCTGTACGTGTATAGTTGTATCGCGCGCTTCGGATCCTTCGTGTGTTTGCCCCTTTTTCTCGTGCAGACGTTTCTATTTTTTTTTTTTTTTTTTTTTTTTTTTTTTTTTTTTTTTTTTTTTTTTTCTTATTCACTCGGTACTTGCGCCCCGTGGAATGTATACGAGTGGCCTTGATAGCGCGGTGCGTACGGTATTGCGTGATATAATTGGAAAATCGATGCCACCTATAGTATACACACGAGAGTTAAATATTTCATGCGACGGTGGCTTTAATTTGGTCATTAAGGATTCGTGGAGTAAGGATTTTTTTCTTTTTCAACGATTACTCATAGACACAAAGGAAGTTATATCGGTAGCTTTTTTTTTTTTTTCTTTCTTTACGAAACGCAAATATTGAATCATTGGTATGATAACTGGTGTGCAGAGCAAACGAATCGGTAGAGCGTTACGTATATTTACGTTCGTTTTGAACATCCATTTGCGAAATTTCAAATTAATTTTTTCACAATCCTCTTTGGTTAATGCGGTCGTGGCAAAATTTTTTTTTTCTTCTCGTTTTAACAATCATAGAAAAGCTTTTATATTCACTTGCTAATGAAAGCGAAGCCCCGCAGTGAATTTTAATCTGGCATTTTCGACGCGACAACCCTGTAACACGATTAAAATTCGAAGGGCTTTAATTTGACGTAATATCGGTCGAAGCTTTTAATTAACCAGCCGAAGGTACTCGCAAAAACAATGGGGTAATATACAGGCAAAAATACCGGAATGAAAAAGCTCCGTGCCGAAATTCCCGTCACACACTTGGTTGTAAAGTGTTAATTTCGAAGTTTCCCGGCTCAGCGTAACGAGTGGCCCCTCACTGCCGACGTGTCGCTTACACCGCGGAAGCTCAAAGAGCAAACGCACGAGCTTGCGGGCCGAGATAAGATGCGCTTCTACCGCAGTCAGCTACAAGCGCCGAAAGTTGAGACTACAGTGTGCACGCCGCTGATGAGTGTGTGTGTGTGTGTGGGGTTTGTTGCACATGCAAGGGCGATGGTAATGCCCACCTCGACCTGGATTTGATAATCGGCCGGTGCAAGCAAGGAGGCTGTCTATCGATTTTCATTTTTCTCTATTCGTCGTTGCTTATATACTACGCTCGCGGGAGTCCCTCGGAGGAGATACCGAGATGGAGATGAATATACATGTATTGTTTTTTTTTCTTTCTCTCTTGTTCCACGAGCTTGTTTTTCCTCTCTCGATCCCCTGGCGAGTTATTACGGTGGTGGTGTAGGAGGGGGGGGGGGAGGCAACAAAAAAAGAATTTTCTTGTCTCGCTGAGAGTGCGCGCCTCGTTCCGAAAATACTAGTACGGGAGCGAGTATACATATACACACGTTTGGAGACTCGGAGACGACGGGCGTAAGTTATTAAGCACGGGAAAGAAGAACTTCTTGAATATTTCTCATGGCGCGGAGCAGAGGACTTTTGCGTGTTTATTATATGTATACGCGGTTGCTTTTATTTTTATCGCTCGGAATGTTTTTACGACTCGAACGCTAGTTGGCGTATTATTAGAAAGTGCCACTGAAACGCTGCGTATAGCCCAAGTGTTTTTTCATTTTTTTTTTTTATACTAGAGGCACTAGAAGTATTTTTTTTTTTTTTCAATTCTTTCGCTCGTAGAAATATTTGCAAAAGTTCATGGTAGGGATTAACGATCATCTGCGTGAAACTCGTGCTTTTTTTATTAGTTGCACGCGAATCACATTTTTTCATTCACCTGACAACGAGCCGAAGACAGTCGCACCCGCCAAGTAAACAAACGAAATCTCGAACTTTGCGAAAAATAAACAAATGAGCCGAGGGAGAGGAAAAAAGACTCGAGGCGAAAGAGGAATATTACAGAAACGGAAGAGGGGAAAATCGCAAACCACTGCTGACGCGTCTCGCCGATAAGAGCAATGGGTGTGTGTGTGTGTGTGTGTAAAGGGGAGAAAGTGCCGAGTCGGGAAACTGTTTGCGCGTTGATTACTGATAACCCTACGCTACACGGATTGTTTGCCTTACCCCTGTGTTTTATTTCGGAAGGTCTGAGAGGGGGCACGCGAACCGGCGAGATGTACTTTTTTTTGCGACGCTTTATGATTTTTTTTTTTTTTTCTTTTGTCAATTAAAGACAACCGTGTTTAAAATGTTAGTCGTTAACAAATGTCAACAACTTTTTTTTTTTTTTTTTTTCATCCCCAATTGGGCATCAGAGAAGCGCAGTAAAACGTGAAATCCTTGTAAAAGTCGTAAGAAATGAGGCAATTAATCATTAAACCTGCATACAGCTCGTAAATTTACCCGTTCGCAGACAAAGGACTCTGGCTTCAATTCTTAAAGTTCCCCGACTCGGACGGAAGGGGTCGGGAAAATTCCTGCACCACCGCGGGACGACAATGTCCAAAAAAAGCCACTGTTCCGCCGCTCGTTAAACTCGGACCGTTCCACCCTTCCAAAGCTCCTCTTGAAACTTTTCTCCCTCTGTGCCTATTACCCTCTCGCGCGCGCATACATCACGGAGTAAAATTACCCATCTGCTTTTTTTCCACTCCTGTATTCAGGGTAAATCACCTCAACCTGTTTTCATTGTTCCCGCAGCCCAATCCGTCCACTTGCCTCAAAATCCGGTGTTTAAGGCACGCGTGTACATGCGATATCGCTCTATGCATCAGTTGAGCAATAAAACACCAAGTACACACTCCGGGATTCGGATGCGATGGAGATTACGGCCCTTTCGACCGAGGTATTGTACATCCAAGTCTTGTACGTAGTATTTATGCTAAAATTTGAATGGAAAATAACCGACGTAGTATCATTCAGTTCTCCTTTGTAGTTGGACGAGCGAACAAAAAAAAAACAGAAACACGCCCGTGTGATTTACGTTTCGAAGAATGAAATTAGACGATTCTGTTTTATTTTTTTGGAAAAGACCGTATTGTTTATGGTTTGTTAGGTGCAGCTGCTTATACGAAAATCACGACAAGCTGGCCTTATTGCACCGAGAGGAAAAAAAAAACAATAAGAATAACTGTCCTAGAATGATGTCATTCATCCGTCCAGGAAACCCAATTTTTACCATTCGGGATAGTAAAAATTATTATTCAAATAGTAAAAAGCCTCTAGACCGAATAGCACCAGACTACCATTCTAATTTTTACGATTTTTTTTTTGCCCTCAGTAATCGTTAGAAATCAATGAGAGAACATGTAGACTATAGATTTGGTATCCACTCGAGTACAGCAGCGGTACTATCCTGACAATTTTCATTTTTCATTACTTTGAAATATTTAAAAGCAACCCGTACATAAAAAAAATGTATCTTCTTTTGAGCTTCGTACAAAATTAAACTCGACTGCAAATCACGGTGTGTTGTTTCAACCCTGCACATAAGTGTGTAATTTACTGTAATCCTTTATATACACTTTTACGTGGATAATTTTGTACTTTTTAAATGTGTATTCATGATTTACGCTCTTAAAAAGCGTTGTTTCAACATATTTTATGCGTATAAATGATAAATACACACTTATGATGTGTTAAAAGACCCGCACAAGAAGTGTTACAGTGAATTCCACACTTACCCATATGTGGAGGGTTGGGTAATAGCCACTTTGGGTAATGAATATGACTGATGGAGAGATAAAACTCGCAATCCAAGATAATATAAAAATGTAAAGGTCGCGGTGATGATGTTGTTGCAGACGCGTCGCGGCGTGGCAGCCTGCACCACTGGGACGAGCACATCACCAGCGACGGCAAGCAGGGGAGTCGCCGACGCCAACGAGACGAGATAATCAAGGAGGACGGAGGAGCAAGTTGGCCGCGTGATCGTGAACCGTTTGTTGGGCCTCTGCGGCCGCGCCGCCGCGGGGCCGTCGGAGGCCTCCGTCTACACCACGAGCGGCAGGATGTCAGACGCGAAGCGCCAGGGCCAGGGTGTGAGCGCCCCCGCGACTCCGACGGCGTCGACTGCGAGCGACGGAGCGTTTCGGTCGTTGCCCGCTCGGCCGAACAGCGAGAGCCTCGCTAGGAAGGCCTTGCACCAATCCGCCGAGTCGGCGCGAACCGAAAGGTCAGCTTTTTTTTTTTTTCCTCCAATCAAACCGAAGTATAGGGGGAAACTGATCCCAGGGTGGACGACTCGAGTCTCGTTTGAGTGACACGAGCAAGAGGGCCCGCATTCAACGTCACTTTGCTTCTGTTCCTTACATAGCGATCGTTTGTTGTGATCTCGTTTTATCGACCGCCATGGGACGGCAGCGGAAAGTAACTCGGTTTCTTGCTTCTGTGCTCTTAGCTGTGGTCCGAGTGAACATTTGACGCTGTTGGTTATATACACGGAAATTTTTTTTTTTTTTTTCATCAGTGACAAACCATTTGCTTTTTCTTTGCGCGATCAAACATCGTTGTCTAGGTTTTTCCTACATGTATACACACCATTGGACACAGGCTTACATAAACTACCTTGATGTTTTTCTTTATACCGTTTTTTTTTATTTTTAAACGAATTGTTGCTCTTTGTAAAAAAAATACATGCTTAACTCGATTTTTAATTTTAATACATGCAACCGTAACTGTCAAAGCGTCAAAGTTTTATAATATTCGTAAGCGTTTTTTTTTTTTTTTTTACTACAGGCATACTACTGTCGGTTTGTTTTCGTCGTATGCAATGTTAACGCGCAACCGAATGCGTCATTTTGTTATTCCATCAACTTGAAAATCATGTGTCGAAAAACACTCAAAACATTCATTTGCGTAACAAACAAACCTTGAACAGCACATGTATATGTATATATATTGGGCTAAAAGCTTTAATATTTAAAAACGCACTCCATCCATTCGCATTACCAACTTTCAACGCCACCTTTGTGTCACGGAATAACTTTCTGTTGGTAAAAAAAAAAAAAAAAAAAAAAAAAAAAAAAAAAAAAAAAAAAACGTATGCTTTTATAAAATATTTTTTAACATATTTGTATATTTTGTATCGGCCAGTTCGTGAAAATGTCAGAACCTTATCATCCGCTGAAACATATATACAGAAAATAAGGAAACAAAAAGTCCATCATCATACCCCCGTCTCTTGTAAAATTCATCACTCATAATCATCGCTGCTCGATATTAGTCTTAATTCACCGATATGGATCTGAAAAGAAGAAACACACTCTCAAAGACGCTTGTTCCATGCTGTAGGCGAAGTCAATTAAGCTCAGGCTGCGTAAGAGCCTTGCCGTTACTTAGGTGACGGCTAGTAATAATAATAACCAGCAGCTCTTCAATCTTTCTCCACGGGAGCTGTCCGGGCAGCGGCAGTCGAGCTTATGCATACATATATAGCACACCAGCTGGCCTCGACCTTTGGTTGTACACACCGATCCTCTGGTGCATTTTCGAAAATGTTACTTAAATGTACTGCACTAAGCGGCAGATCGATTTTTTGGGGGGTTTTTTTTTTCTATCGTTTTGATGGGCATATTGCGCCATCCGATTTCATACGTATGATAATGAACAAAGTAATAAGGCTAAGATGATAAAAAATCGTTTTCGAGTGATAGTTTATTTGAAGGTAGAATGTGCCTCTACGATTACGGTTAGCGAAGAAAAAAAATTCCAAGTGCATCCGTAGGGTTCGGTTGTGCAATAGGACGCACGTAAGTGCATCGCGAAGAAATGAACCGTGGCATCGGTAGCATGGAAATTGATCATATGGGGGGTGCAGTGCAAAAACGTGTAACACAGAAGGTGAGATATTCAAACGGATTGATTTACTGAGGTCGCGCTTCGTGATCCTATGAAAAAGCGGTACAAGGTCACGTTGAAATTAATGGCGAATGGAACAAATGAAAATGAAAGAGAAGAAAAAAAAAAAAAAAAAAAACAACGTATAGTGTAACAGAAAAAGTTGATTATTAGAAATCGAGACGAAAAAGTCGCGAAAAAATAACCGTACGTATATGTAGGTATATAAGTGTGAGCACTGGTGTAACGTATGACAAATGGCACAAGGGGGGTGTGAGATGGGCCCGGCTTTCTTTACCGCCCCAAGCCCCAGAGTCCGGCATTTGTTGTGTGTCGAAGGGTTTGAAAAAAGGATTTATGGCCCGAGCGAGGCACGAGGAGAGAAAAAGTGTATTTACGAACAACACGCGCGAACGGAATGATGATGTAGCGGTGGTGCGGTATCGGTCAGACATAAAACTTCGTTGGTCGAACCAGCTGCTGCGACTGTTCTCCTCCTCTCCTGCTGCTGCCTCCCGCTAAATGTACGGCTGAAGTGAACGAGGGTGTACGCGCGGATCTTCGTGGTACAGGGGATGTATTTATATTTACAAAGCGAGAGTTTTGCTGCATACTGCGATGGGAAATTAGTATGGTTTTTTTTTTTTTTTTTTTTCACTTTTGAGGATCAATTGGCAGTTGATTGATCAAGTACTTTTTGTGACTTTGGCTTTTTAATGTAATCGATTGGTTAATTTTTAAAGAAAAACTTAAATACTAAATGAGCTCTGTAAGAATATTGAATTTATAATTGCGCTACTTAACTGCCAATTTTAGTATACACCTTTCAAAAAATTTAGAAGCTTACCTAAATAATTATAAATGTGCATTTGATAAATATTGTAGATACAGCTACCATATTTTTGATACTTTTTTTTAAATAGTTAATTTTTTTTTTTTTTTTT